CCCAGCCAGCAACTAAGCCCCACCCAGCCGCTCGCTCACACCCCCACCCCCCCCCGGGGGGGGGGGGGGGGGGGGGGGGGGGGAGCGGGAGGCTCTCCACCGAGAGGACAGCCCTCCGACGGAGTGGGGGTTGCGATGAGGACAGTGGGTGCTGGGACGGGCAGGCTTAAAGGTGGCCCCTGCAAAGTTGCGGCGGGACCCGCTGGGGGCAGGCAGGGGGTCACCGCTAAAGTGTTTTGTCTCCTGCAAGCAGATCCAGCAGGGCACAGCATGAACCAAGAGGACTGGAATGCGGAGATGGGGGATGAGGCATCACCAATCCTTCCACCCCTTGAGCAGGTATGGGGTGGCAACTATTGGGCTGTAGCATGTTTGCTTCTCTTCCCTTCCTCCCACTCCTCACCCTGCAGCCTAGGTGGCTGGTGGGCTGTGGTCTCCTGTTCCTGTGATTCCCGAAGCACCTGGATGATCTTGCCCTTAACTTACGTGTTGAAAAACATGGTGTTTTCTTAACAAGTAGTAGCAATTTCAGTTTCTCAAAATGTTGAGGTGCTTTGCCTTCCTGGAGGCTCCTGGGGCATGCTCAGGGTAGCCAATTAGCTTTACTCTTCTAGCTGCTTAATGCTGTCTCCTTGTGTTGGGTTGTGAGAGGATGTGTGCTGTGTGGAAAAGTATGTGGCCTAAAAGTGGCACGTAGTAGTAACTCATTAATTATGATATATTGGGCTATGAATTGAGTACCTATGTGGATAGGCTAGTGGACCAGCAGAGGCTGGAAGGGAAGCAGCAAAAACTTACGTAGGGTAGAAATTTAAAATTGCAGATCAGTTGTGGTAAGGGGTATTCAAGTAAAGTTTTGTAACTACTGAAAGGGGTGATTCCTGTTGCCTGCCATGGGTGACTCTCTCAGTGATCTCCATTGTTCAGTTAATATTGCACTTCATGTTGTTCCCAAACTTCATGGTTTTCAATGCATAGCTGCCATCAGAAGGGTGAGGAGTGCACCTGTCTGAGGATTATAGATAGGACTTTGAATATCACTTACAGTATGTTTTTGCAAATACGGTAGGGTGCTATAGGAGTTCACTGTTAGTGAAGAGGGGAGGTTTCCTTCCCACCAGCAGTTTGCTTGCTGCTGTTGGTTCAGGTACCAGTGCTTCTTGTGTAGTTCTGTGAGCTCTTTTCATTTTCTAACCTGAAGAGTACTCTTTAGTGATGCAGAAATGGCTTAGATGGCCTTGACCACCAAAGCTGGTAAAGAGAAAATAAATGGAACCTCATCTTTTCTTGACAGCAGTGAGTTGTTACATGGATTCATTTGCTCAGAAAACTGCAGTCTTAAAAAATGGGAATCTGACTTTTCAAGCAGGCTTAAACATGTATAGAAACCACGACAACTTCATTGCATCTGTAGCTCCGTATTTGTAAGTGGGTCTCATCATGATGGTCATAATCTAAAATAAGTTAACATGGTCACTGTATTCTGTAAAGTGATTCAGTCCCTTTGCTGTATATTTTGAAAGTGGTTTTAATACCCAGCTTTTCAGGGAAGAAAAGCAAAGAGACTCATGGATCCTAACTGGGATTATGTAGCAGCTATGTTTCCAGATCTGGGTAGTTGCCAGTCTTGTTTCCCAAGCTCTCAGGAAGCTATCGTATATTCAGAAATAGGTGGAGCTGTTGCATCCTCTCAGATCTTCTGTTTAAGTTGCTTCTGTAAGTTGCATCTACTCTGCTTTCAGCCCCGCCCCCCAAGTGTGCTGAGCTACTACAGCATTTGCAAACCCACCTCACTTAAACTGAAACTGGAAAAGGGTGCTTGTAGAAATTATTCTCGAGTTAAATTCCTGTCAGGAGAAAAGCTACAATTAGGTCAGGATGTAGCACATTTAAGTTGTTAAACTGTGTGCAGCTTAATGGTCTCAAGAGTTTGGCAGCAGGTGAGAAGAATTCTTAAAATACAGTTCTGGGGTTCATAGCAGAACTAGGGTGATGTCAGGTACCTACCTGAGCTAAATCTTGTGTAGAAATTGTTCCTATTCAATTTTGCTATTTTTTACATAGCAGCAAAATGGTTTGATGTGAAATGAGGGGTAAGATACAGGAGTGTAATGAGGGACAGCTGAAGAATAATGTTTTGCTGCTTCTGATGTTGTTGAGTGAATACTGGTATTGGAAGAAGCTGCAGTAAATTTGAGGCGAATCTGTAATGAATCTTTGATTGTTGGTGTTGGTCTTAATGGGTGTTTAAATTCAGCCTTGAGGAAGAGGAGAGGTGAATGGCTTATCTAGATGGGTGTGTAAGGCTAAAAGTAAGGTTGCTAAAAGAAGAAATTACAGCATACACTTTCAGAGTAATGTGAAACTGAGAAGTGTGAAAGCTGTAGTAAAAAGCACAGTCTGGAAGTAAAAGGTTTAGTAGTTCTGTGATGTTCCCCAGTCAGCTGGTGTATTGGCTTACTAGTACGTGTCTGGTTTTCATTACACAGGAGAAAGTTAAACATGGTCTTTGCTGGAAATAAAACTGGCCATAAGACTGAAATGTGAAAATTAGGTGCTGTTCTGAATTGTTTCAAATGGAGTATCTGAATCTTTGAATAAATGAACAGGGACTGATGTATTTCAGGTGTTTCCTTTTACGATAATCTGTAAGCATCCTCTAGTAAAACCCTAGAAATGCAGTCATGAAAATAGTTTTTATTCACAGTACAGAGTCTGAAAGACTGGAAAACAAAAATCCTTCAAAAGAGTATAGTATTGTTTTGAACAATAAATGTTTTTTATATTTAAGGCTTAAGATGTTTGTTGGCAAGATGACAAAGCTGATGCCTCCATAAATCAGTGACAGAAGGCAAGATACACTTAATGCCACGTCAGCTGTGTATAATGTCGTTTTGGTGACAGTCAGGTGCAAACAGTATGCCATTTAGTATACTGAAGCGTAATAAACTGAAGTGGACAGAAGAGTCTGAGAGCCTGCATTTTGGAAGGTGCAGATGGCAATGTCTTTCAAGTGCGAGACTTAGAAACTGCATTTGTATTTATGTACTTTACTTGGCCTGGGGTTAACATGATGTTGTGCCTTTTTTTCTTTTTGTAGGCTAGCTTCTCTGAAAGACGAAATGGCCCCTCGTCTGACTTCAGTCCAACTGTAGGCTCATTCGGTATGTGAAAGGCACTTTTGATTTTACTGACACCTGGGGGAGTTGATCCCTTGAACAGTTTAGGAGATTAAAGAAAACCACAATATTATAATTGTGATATTTTCATGTGTCCCTCTTGGAGTAAGCAACATAAAACAATACAGGTAACATGAGTAGACTTTCCTTTTGACCCTCAACCCTTCTTTATTTACTGCAGTTACGTGTTGAATATAGCATGTAACTTCTAATGAGAGTCAGTAGGTGTTACCTCATAAGCATTTCTAAAACAGGCTGTGCTAAACATGAACAGTATTGAAATTAACTAAGTGTTACCTGCAATATTGAGCGGTTCTAGCGAGGTCCTGTTTGACAGTTGTGTTGAAAATAAGAAAAGGTCAGATGAAGTTGTTGCACAGAAACTTAGATCCATTTAAAAAGAACCAACAAAAACCACAAGACAAAACATTGATGTTTGGTATCAAGTTTCGGTAAAGCATTCTTGGTTTAATGAAGATGATGTCTTTATAAACTTGAACAGAAGTTTTAGTTATAGAAATTAGAAGAAGTTTAGATATAGAACATAAAAGTTTTAAATATGCCAAGCCAGGGTTGCTCCTGAAGGTCATTTGCCCCAGGCTTTACTTTGTGTGACTCTACGGCAGTCAGGTCAGGAAACAGGTTTTGCTTAGAACTGACAGTGTGGAATAAGGCAATTGGTGTTCTCACCGTAGTCTCTAAACTTAGGAATGGTCTTTAAGACTGCTTGAGGATATTTTAACTTCAGTGAAATTCAGTCTGAGGTAAAAATTTCGAGCTTATATCATTTAGTTGATCCAACTGTGGAAGAGCAACCTAAACTTTATTTTAACAGATTGTGGTTAGCAGAAATTATTTTGGTATCCTAGAACAGCCCAGGCTGGAAGGGACCTCGAAAGATCATCTGGTCCAACCTTTTGTGGTAAAGGAAGCCTAGAAGAGATTACCTAGCACCCTGTCCAATCTTGAAAATCTCCAGTGATGGGGACTCTACCATGTCCCTGGGGAGGTTGTTCCAGTGAATGATTGTTCTCACTGTAAAAAATTTCTTTCTTATCGAGATGGGTAAAGGAAGCCTAGAAGAGATTACCTAGCACCCTGTCCAATCTTGAAAATCTCCAGTGATGGGGACTCTACCATGTCCCTGGGGAGGTTGTTCCAGTGAATGATTGTTCTCACTGTAAAAAATTTCTTTCTTCTATCGAGATGAAACCTCTCCCAGTGCAACTTGTACCTGGTGCCCTTTGTCTTCTCCACGTGGCTCTTTGTGAAGAGAGAGCCTTTGTCCTCTTTGTAGCCACCCTTCGAGTACTGAAATACTGCGATTAGGTCCTCCCTGAGCCTTCTCTTCTCCAGGGAGAAAAGACCTAACTCCCTCAGTCTTTCCTCGTAGGGCAGGTTCTCCATATGTTTATAACTGCTCATGTGCTTATGAGCATTTAGAACATGGCAGTATTCTTATCTCTGATGTATCTCTCCCCTGCCTTTTAGCATATAGCTGAAAGGTAGACTTATTTCTCCAATTCCTTGTCCCCAAGATGTTGGAAAATTAGGAAGGGCAGAAACAAGATATCACTTGTGCTACTTGAATTCCTCTAAATTTGGATGGTTCAAGGAAATACAAAATTGGGAAGACAGACTTTGTGTTCCCCCTAGAACAGTAGAAATGTTTTATGAGGTGTCCAGGTTGCTAATTTCAGTAATGGTTTGATACAGAACAAATGGGAAAGGCAGTTTCTGGTGAAAAGAACTTGAATTGCAAGTCAGGTGGAAGTGTGCCTTGGAGCTTCATGTTTTGTTTGTTCCAACTCTTTTTCTGACTAGCTGTCGGCTCTGCCTGCTAACTTTTCCATTACATATTGCAAAAATAACTAAGTATTGTCTGATTTGTGCCTCTTGTACTCAACTCATGGCAGGGAGGGCTTTTCCTG